TCTGGCCAGTGGTGATCCTTTGTTCCTGTTCCTGTTGAAGGGAAATGGAAGTTCTCAATGAGATGCCTTCAGCTTTTGCAGCCACTTTTTGTGTAAGTCACCCGTAATTTGGCCAATCCAGCAATACTATAACTAGATAGCTGGCAACTTTATAATTCCACTGGCAACTAGATAACTGTCACTCATTTGGCCAATCCAGTAATTCCACTGGCCACGGAGGCAACTTCCCTAGCTGCCTTCATTGGCAACGATGAACTGTCCAACAAATGCACCCAGCCCCCTGCATTTGCATATACCATGATGAGCTTGCCTTGGGGGCCAAACTGCATTGGAGCTAATTCCTTATTTTCGGGTTGGTCAGTGACATCTAGCGTTTTCAGTCAAACACGAATGGGGAAGGAGCTTCTTTTGTTCGGTGCTTCCTCTAAGAGTCGTGGGCCATCGTTGCAAGATTTCTTCCATTTCCCGGTTCAACTGTAGAGTGATAAAGGAGTCATGACGGCTGAGTTTGTCACAGGAGGATAACTTTTGTGCTGCTTTCTTATCGCGGCGAATGAGTAACCACAAGGAACCGGCTCATTAGGCAACATTAAAGTTTCCATAGATGCAGTTTTCTCTCTTCTTCATTCACCCAATAATATGAGATGGCTTGACCCACGCCACCATAGACATGTGTGCAGTTTGAATGTTGCTGTTTGTATAGTTGCTCTCGGCACCACAACGGGATTTAACAGCAATGTGGAACCACAAGTTGGTGGGCATGAATCCACACCTAAATGATGTCCACCAAAGGGTCCCCTATTAAACCAAATCATACCCATATGGGTTTGTGTGTTTTAGGCAACCCTCCAAAATGGTGGTGTTCCTTTTGGTGTCCCTTTAAACATCTTTCAACCTAGCAAAGCAAGGATACCCTGAAAAACAACCCCACACACACACCCATATAACCTGCATCCATGACTTCCCCTGCACTTCGTCGGACGGGAATTCGCATCGCCAGGTTTCGCCTCGGACGGGACGGCAAGCATACGGGACCTGGGCTCTCGCCCATGAGCCCAGCCGCGGCCGTGGTTTCAGAAACAATTTTCGTCCGATTGCTGAAATGAGCATGGTATTTGTCCTTTGTTGGTGTCAAAGGGAATCTATCACTACTGGAAACATGTATTGTTTCGGAGCCATTGTCTTCCAATTGTTTATGTTTCATTGCCCTTGTTGGTTTCAACGGGAATCTATCATAACCAGAAATGCGTCGTTTTTCCAGGGGGCTGAAGCAAATGGAAGTTTTGGTGTCAGATGACCAAACCTTACTTACTCAGTGGATTCCGGGCTGACACAAATCGCTTTTTGGTTTGGTGGGTTCGGCAGCCCCCTGAAAAGACATCAAACCCAAATTTAACATGCTAACACCCTCTTTATCCCTCCGATAGCTTTTTTGGTTGATTTCAAAGGGTGACGACGCAACGGCTAAAACACGCAATTAAGCCAAGCACCCAGAAGGTCGCCCGAAGAAGGGGAACCAGAAGGACACCTGCAAACACGATGGGCTGAACCCCCCCCCCCCCACGTTTGATTGGCCGCCACACCTGGGGTTTTTGACGCATGAACCAGTGAAAAGGTTCAGCAGCGCGCCCTTTGGCAACCAATGGGTTTTGGCGGCCCATCATGGGGCCTTGGGCTTTGGCAAGTGGAATCAGTGGCTTGGTCTTTGGCTTGACCTCGGGGTTTTCCAACCAGGATGTGATCCTTTTCCATTCGTTTCGATAGGGGTCCCTTCGCCTCCTACCTGCCACCTGGCTGGATTGGCTGGATTGGAGCATTTTCCTCAGCCCGTAGCAGCCTAGGGTTTCTCCGGGCGTTTGGCGGATGGGGTCGGAAGCCGACTCAGGAAACGGTACCTTCTTGAACGACCACCGCGTCACAGCGCCCACGCCTTAGAGATTGCATCTGGTGGACAGGTGCGTGTCCGCCACTTGTTGTTACTACGCCAAGGGGAAGTACATGGGTAATGTGGACCGCATATTGAGCAACCCCGGTGTATTGATAGGGGGGTGCTTTTCCCTGGGTTAAGTGGGGAAGCAAACCACTGTTAGAGGGAACACCCCCTTTTAATAATTGGGGTTGATTAATATGGGGTCCACATTACCCATTTTGGCTTTGAAAAGGGAAATCTAAGGGAAAGCCACCATTTGTGCCAGGACAGCTTTGGTCATGAAGAGCGGGGACGCAGTGCAGCTAGGCGCACCATGGCTCGTTTGGCTGTGGTTCGGATCGCCGTAAAGGATGTCCATTTACCCCACGAGCAAACGAGAAAAAATGGGGAGGCTTGGTGAATTTCATTCTCCAAAAGACAGACATCCGTTAGTTCACTATTCTTGGTATGCCTTCATTTGGGTTTGTGTTGTTGAGGGTGCCCTTTTTGGGGTTGGTTTAGAGGGAGACGAAAAGGCGAGCACCATTTTGGGCCTAGCCGAATTTGACACATACCCAAGTTTGTTTGCTTCTATTCAGAAAAGTTGGTTGTTTTGCCCACATGGGTGTGGAGGAAAACATCAAGCAACCCACACTTCCGAGTTTCTGGACTTTTGGGCCAATCCAGTTGGAGTAGTTAGTGCGCTTGTTTTCACCACTCACTTCCTTACACTATCCTTTCGCCGCTCGGCACAGGTGTGGATGGCCCCAGCTACGTCTTTACATGGGGTCCTGCGCTTACTACCGGCAAGCTGTGCATGGAGCGGACATGACCTGAGGTCCGTTCAGAGCCCGCGATCGGTGCCTGACATTTAATGAAGTGAGTTTTGGGCTGAGATGTGTATTTTTTTGTAAAAGCCCGTACCCAAAATCCATCCAACAGCAGCCTGGCCTAAATGAACTCCAAACCAACCGAAGACCCACACTCATGAAGATCAAAGCTAAAACCCAGCTTCCCAGCCTAAGAAAGCAGTGCCAGTAAAAGATCAGCCCCAACAAAACAAAAGCTCTACCGTGGAACGTCACGACAATTAGTTTGGATTGCAAACATACAAAGCAGTCTGATTGGACTTCTTGCGAGGGTGAGGAACACTCCGTTTCCAAAATCTGCAGGGCGCCAAGTTGAATTCCCCGATGTAGCTCGCTCGTTTTAGGACAGACGATCCGACCGATTAGGTCACTTACCTATTTTACGAGGTGTTAAGCTATTTCCCACCTTGCACTCATCATTCTCTCGGGATTAGTATCTGGGTATGTGTCAAAATGCCCCCCCAACGAAATTTGTTTTCTCCTTTTGTTTTCCCTTTTCCCTCCCACCAACACACATGAAAGTGCAGAAACTCCTTTGCAAGACCGCTTTGTTCTGTTCAAGCATTTCTTCTCACACGATGTTGGCACACACTAAAGTGTAGAGACTCCTGTACAAGAACACTTTTCTTCTGTTCAAGCATGTCTTACTCTGATGTTGGGAGGTGAAACCAACCTGAGTTTGGGCCTCAAAAGCTACAGGCGTCCATTTCCCTGCGCCTTAGGTCCTGCCTATTACGCCCGCTGGCCCCGCGAGATGCAGCGCGCAAGTCGAGGAAGCCGCCAGTAGGTCGGTAGGTCGGTAGGTCGGAGCTGTTTGGGTTGGAAGGGATCTCCAAGCTGATCTCCAAAATATGCCACTCTACAAGGCTTTCGTACTCCCAGAGCTCCGTGGCCGCCCTTCTGTCACTCACCCAGCCAGTGAGGGATCCCAGAGAAAGCCAACGGCTTCAGAGCGACTGCCCTGGCCACATGGATGCGAATCAATCAGACGTGAATGAGTGTTTTGTTTTTTTTTTTTGCGGGTTGGAAGGTAGAGAATGGGGTGATGTCAGAAGTATAGGAACTTGGGGGAGGGGGCGTGATGTGTTTTGGTTAGAAATTGAGGCTCTTTGCGCCTTTGAACCGTCAGTCACGTTTTACACGAAAGAAATCGTGGATTTGAACATCCATGGTTCCAAACAGTTGGTTGAGCCGCGAACCACCTTTGGGCTGGCAGGGACATATGCGGGTCACCATGTTAGCCAAGTTAATATTGTTTTTTTTTGGAACCGAAGGCAGCCCAGTTTGGGCAGGAGCTAGAGGACACTTTTTGGTCGCTTCGGGGCGGGTGAGTTGCATCAAGACCTGGAGTGAAAGCCAGAACAAACCTGCAGAGCAATGGGTAGACAGGTTCCTCCAAATGACAGGCAGCCGAAATCCTTTCCTTCCTTTGAACCACTGGTGCATGTGCAAGAGGCAGAAACCATCATGATGCGCAAGACAGCTTGACGATTCCACACAGCTCACCTTGTTCACTTCATGGTGCCTAGTCTGCCACCAGCCTGTGACCTTTTCCCTAGTTCAAAGGCCATGACATTCCCCTACGAAGCGATTGCCACGGGAGTAACATATTAGCTATTATGTTGTCTCCCGTGCTATAAAGATGTCTCATGTGGGAGCGATCCATTGCCAGCCTTCGATGCAGTTATCGGCCCAACATCATGGAGAGCCATGCGAACCCGCAGTGTCTTCTGCCACGCAGCAGGAGATGTCTTGTTTGAAGCATAATCGACACATTCGGGCCAGTTGGAAAATCAATTCTGCCAGCTTGGTTGGAGGATCCTCTTGTGAAGCAGGTGGCTTTTGAGTGTGTATCTTAGGAACCTTGTTGAGAGCCAGGGCTGTCCAGGATTTAAGCCCAAGGAATATCCCCCCTGAAACAACCGCACCTCAAACATGGCCAAATTGACGAATGTGGCCCCACTGCGGAGAGCCAATATGCTTCTGGACCTGGCAAGGTGGCTGGCGGTTTTGGATACTGACCAACCATCTAGAGTAAGAAAAATAACGTGGCGTAAAATAAGTTCCCAGAGACTGAAATAATTTATTCATATGAAACAGGGAACCCCAGGTATCCTCATCACTAAAGCTATAAGTGTGCATAGGTGTGTATATACATATACACATCATATCCTTTACGCCCCCATGATTTGGGGCTGTAATAGGTGTACACAAACCGTGGTTACCTTGACTTTTTCTCGGCCCGCCAGCCTGGCGGCTTTAGCGAGTCATCATGTTGGGCGATGACTTGATGGAGACCACGTCCCTGCCACTCGCCTTCCGCACAGAAAACAGACGACGCCCTTTTGGGGCTTCTTTCCCTTATTAAGCAGGGCTCCTTACAAGATACATTTGAAACATGGCTTTTTCCCACCAACATAAAGGGACACCACCGAATAAACGAGGCAATGTTCAGGTGTAGAATTCAAGGATCCCTGTTAAGGGTCTAGTGCTGTTTCCGATGGGGAAGGGACCCTCAAGCATCCAATGTGCATAGGAAACATGGATCGATTTGCTCAACCAGAAACGGGGATGCACACCCCAACAGACTTCGAGCGAAGCTAAGGGCCCTTTGTGGGGAACATATTTTGCTGTGGTTGCCCTGTTTTTGTGTGACACCTGCTTCTGCCAAGCGGGGGCTGGTTGACAGCTTGACCAGTTCTGCTTGTGAGGCAGTGTCCGTCCTCTTTTTGTAGAGGTTTTGTCTGTATTCTCAAGACTGGCAGGGGGGGATCCCTTCAAGGGGAAATTGATCTTCCAAGTGCCTCCCCACAGGTGCCATGTCAGTGAGAGAAAGGGTATATCCCTTGTATTCTATATAGCAGCCTAATATGTCTCGTGGCTCCTTTTGTGCTACACCCCAGCACTAGGACCCTCAGTTTTCTTCGGGCAAGATGCGGTGGCCCTCGCAGTCTTTTTTGCGAGGCAAGATGCAGTGGAGAAGATGATGTCGGACGTGGCCTCCACCAGCAACGCCGGCCTTGATGCTCTTCGGGAGTGGCTCCAGGAGCCTCTGAGCCTCGGGACGAATCGAATCGAGCCTCTGAATGGGTCTGCCTACGTTCTGTGGCGAGCTCACAGGGGCGGGGGCAAAACGAGCTAGTGGAAAAGATCCTTTCCTGGGCGAGTGCTTGTTTCAGGTTTTGGGAATTTTGTAAAACTTGCAGATGGGTGTGTGTGTGTGTTTGTTCAGGGCACCCCTTTCACTTTGGTTTATTATAAAGGGAACCAAAAGGCAAACCACACCCAAATCTAGTTTAGTGGGGTCCCGTGGTCTAGTGGGCTCCATCCTCCCTTTTAGTTTGGGTTCGGGACCTACTTGTGGAATCAAGTCCAACCTCGAGATCTCATTTTTGGGTCTGGGGCTTACTTCAGTCGTTATTTTGGTTTGTCTCAAAATGGGGGGACCCTGAGAAATGCTGTTCTTTTCTTGTCCCTTAACACCACTCCCAAAAGCGTGCCCTCGAACAAAGATACACAAATTTGGAGGTGTCGGCGTTTGAGTGCGCACTTCTTTGCCCACCCTTCGCGGCGAATTTCTGGCGTAAAGCGGCGGACACTGGCGGGTGGAACATCCGTTTGGTGCGTGTGCCTTCAACAGTTGAGATCCAGGGTTGTGGGGTCAAGGGCTTTGTCCCCACTTCTGTTCTACAAGGGAATATCCCCCTTTGTATTATTGGGGTTTGTTTTTGGGAAGGCCCTGTCTGTTGTGTCACATAAGTGGTCATTTTCCGCAGCCCTGGTGAGATTTGATTGACCGCTTTGACCATGGCTTGCTACAAGAAATGACTGATCATGTGCTGGAGGTTGCTTGGCAGACTACATGTTCCGTGAACTTATTGCCTCCTTTTTGTTTGGTTGCTCACGCTAGCCCTTATTTTGAGTCAAGTGGTTGCTTTTGGGGAATGTGTTGCGTCCGAGTCCGGGTTGGCTTATGGCACATTCGGGCCCATTCCACACCCAGACTTGCTCTTGCCTAGGATTAGTTTGGGTGCCTAGAACGCTTGGTGATTCTGCCATGTGCCCTGCAACATGCCGCAGAGGCATCAAGGGCATATAAATGCCACGTGGATACCAGGCCCCGCGCCTTGTTTCAAGGACAAACACGCGCATGTGCATGGCAGCGGCCTTGTATTGGGTTCCATCGCCATTTAGAGCTTGATTCTTGAGAATGGCTCGGTGACTCAGGTCAAGATCCCTAGATTTCCTTTCATCGCATCTCATCACCCTTTAAATCGTGGAAGCCGACACTTCTAAGGAGTCAATTTACTGGACCATTCCAAAACGGAAACACATGCGGTCTTTGATAGGACCAGCGGAACTTGGACAAGGCGGACAGCGACCCCAAAGTTTGGCCTGCAGTGCTAAAGGCGCTCCAGGGAAATGGGAGGTATTTTGAGGAGGCAAGGCATGCCTCCATTGTGAGGTGTTCTTCTTTTTTTGCATGCTATTTCCCATGTTTATGTTGAAGTCATCCCCATTGCTGATATGGAGGGACGTGTGCCGTCTATCTTCGCCCTGGCTTAAAGTCAGCTACCAAGGGTGCCTTTTTCCATGGCCTGAGATCCTGCTACAAGCAAGACGTGTTGTCGTCGAGACTGCCCAAGCTCACCACTGAAATGAGAACCCCGGGGTCAGATTGCATCCGATTTTGGAGCCATCATGCCATTGATGAATATTAACCAACTCTGGGTTCTTCGCTTTTGGGGTTGCTCTCAAACCATCTGAACCCTGGCTCCTACTTCTTGGGTGTTTTTGCCACATGGCCTCGAGATTGGAGATGTGCTGCCCAAAGCCCTTCTTTGCATTCAGTTGCTCCAAGCCTCAAGGTGAAGCCACACCAGAGATATGTTAAGGGGGTTTCAGTTGCTCTCCTTGGTCACCTCGATTTTCAAGGCCCGGAAGGGGGGCCTGGGAGCGATTTGCGGACTGAGGTGCTGGTGGCACACAGCCAGCGCCAGGTTCAGAGCCTCACGAAAGCAGGCGCGACACAGCTCGAACTGGGATCTCGTTTCTCAGGCAAGTCGCTTTTGTCTGTATGCACAGGTCGGGGCACAGACCATCAGAGTGAGTCGAGTGCGCTTGGAAAACGTCAACCCAAACAGACATGCAGGGCCTCGGCTGCAACTGGATTGCTTTCCTTTTGAGCCACCAACTGCAGGATCATTTTGAGGATGTCTCTTTACAACAAACTTTACAACAGGATGAAGGTACATGGCACTGTCACAATCACCTATATGTGGGCAAGTGGGTGAAAGAGGATGACTTAACCGAAATGGGGAATTTGTGCCATCACCCAGTTATGGACCATTTTGTGGGCTGTCCCATTTGAAGACGCCAGGCGGTCGCAAGGTCTCCTTCCGCGTGGACGGCCCCGCCACGCTGCTGGCAGCGGTGAAGGCGGCGCGGCGCAAGCGGCGCGTGAGCCTGGCAAAGGTGGCCATGTGTCTGGGCCGATGCTTCGTTTTTGCGTTGTTTCGTTCTTGGGTTTGTGTTGCAGGGTTGTGGGATCACTCGGGGCTTATCGCCACTGTGATACAAGGGAATTCCCTCTTTATATCTGGGGCACAGAGTGGTCATTTCCCGGAGCCCTGTTGTATTGTGTTTGTGGGTATGCAATTTTATGTGCATTGTTTGGGACGTTTAGTTTGTTGGGGTTCTTTCGCTAAGGGAATGGAATGTCGGCATCATCGTTGGGCTTGTGATGTAGTCCCTTCTTCTGGAACAGTTTACTTGTTTGTTTGTTTCGTTCTTTTTCAGTGGAAGCTCAATTTGTGTTTGTGTTCCTTGGGAGGTTTGGTAGCTTCTTTGGTTCGGATAAAGTTTGCTTATTGCTGCTTGTTTTGTTTGGGCGGTTTTTGTTTCGTTGAATCCTCATTTTGAGTTAGATGTGGTCCACTGGTTGCTTGTTCTCGTTTGTGGGTTGGGTCTGCTTGTTTGTTCTTGGAAGGGTAATGAAGTGTTTTGTCCTTTCCTTGGGTTCAGTGTACTTTTCTTTAGAACAAACGGGGAAAAATAGAAAAAGAAAACAACAACAGTTAAAAGTGTTGTTTGTTGTGCTGTTCTTTTCAGTTCACTTGCGGTTCTTCGTTTTTGGTCGCTTTTCTCAGGGATTAGTCAGTTTGGTTTTGTCCCAGGAGGCCGTTGGGTGTGGGGAGGAGGCAACCACTTTGCTTCCTGCATTCGATTTGTGCTGCTGATGTGTCCTTCAAAATGTTGACCCCACTTTAGTCAACCCCAGTTTGTTAGCAGGGGTGCTTTCCCCGAGTTTAGTGGGGAGTCATCACTTTTGGAGGGGAACACCCCCCATTAATAAACTCGGATTTATTTAAGGGTGTCAACAACAAGGCCTTCCTTCAAAACAACCTCAAGAAAGGTAGAGTAGCAATGCCACTCCCATTTGGTTGGACGTCGCCTTGCGCTTTCATGCACCACCGGGCATGTGCGGAAGAACAAGGATCAACAAGGCATGGCTGGTGTTAGGCCAATGGCGCTCAATGGCGCTGACGTGCTTAGATTTTCATGCAGTTGACTTGGCCAAATGCTGGACTAGCGGTGCCTTCTTTTGGGAACCTCCATTTGGATTGAAAGAGAATCCAGAGAGACATTAACCGTTTGGAGAATTGTTTTTCTGATTTTGATGCCTGCCAATCTTGCAAATGCGCTGTGTCTGCAGTCGCACGGCAATGTTTTGCTTAGTGACTGCTTGTGCATCCAAGGCGCGTTTGGATTCACATCGAGGAAGTTTTGCGCCGGCGCCCCAGTGAGGCATAAGCCTGCGCCAGCCCAGAATTCGATGGAATGTCCTGCTGAGGCAATGAAGTCATGGTCAACCGCCAGACGGAGTCGCTGTTTTACTATTGCTGCTGGGAAGCACTTAACTTCAACTTCGGATTGCTGTAGAGAAGGACTGTTTTGGTGTGGAAGCAGTTCATTCTAGTGGCTCCCTTGGGAAAACATGTTGCCCATATCAATTTTTAAGAACATGTTTGTCATGGCTTGCTATACTTCCTGTTTCTCAGTCTAAACAACTTGGTTGCCTATTCAATCCAAGTCCCCGCGGAAATGATTTTAAGGGCGGATAGGGAGCCCCGGCTCGCAGACCCGCATGGCGTGCCCCAGCCACTGCTCTTCGGCCAACTCCTCCGAGAGATCAGAGACCCCTGCAAAACATGTTGGGTTGCATGCTTTCTTGAGGCTACCCTTTGTGGGTTGGTTATCACTAGCTTAGCTTAGATGGGCCAGAGCAAACAACTGGGGGCCCATTTAGGGCCATGCAACAATCATATCTGCCGATCTTTGTTTTAATGTCGAGCTCATATGGGGGTGAATCGAGCTCGTGAACTAGGTCACAACCCCCCACACAACCCCCCACACCCCCCTCCCTTGCCACATCTGATGCGCGCGGATTTATTTTTTCTCACCGAGGTAAGGCGGCCCAGGAGCTGTCGGAGGCGGCGGATCAGGGCGCGCTGTTGGAGCTGAGGCCCAAGCGAGTGCTGAAGCCCTTGCTGGAGGCGGGGCTGAAGCTGCTGAACCGCCTTGCAGTAAAGCCTATAGAGGGGAAGATGACAGCCCGCAGATGCGGGGGGGGGGTGGGGGGTGGGGTGACTGGGTTTATACAACCCAGGTGGCAGATGGGGGGGAGTTACGGGGTTTATGCAAACATGGGGTGGTGTTTCCTCCCAAGGTTTGCCTTTGGACACCAAGCAAACACTGTTCCCTTGCTGAAAGGGAACCCTCCCTAATGAGCGTGGTTCTTCGGGTTCAAAGGAAACACCACCAAGCCCAAAACCATAAAACCAAAACCACCCAAGCCAAAAATCACCAAACCACTACTCACCCAGCTTCTCCAATTTCCGGGGCTGGAGAGATCGATCCCAGCGCCTCCGAAGCAGCGCCTCTCCGCGGAAGCTTCCGCGAGGTCCAGGGCAGCCAGCGCACCAAAGGCGCCGCGCTGGACGCGGCCGCCAACTTGTGCCGCCACGCAGAGGGGGACATCGCCGCAGAGGCCATCCTTTTTCTTTGGGGGGGGGGGGACGGGAGGTGGGGCCTAGCGCGTCTTTTTGGGGAGAGCTGGGTTTGTAGGGGACAAGCGGAAACCACACATTGTTTTCATTATTCGACATGATAAGGTTCGCCATGAAGCTCACTTCCTTGTTTTGGGCTGGTGTCCTTGCTAGCTTGAGGTTCGTAATTTCCAGTTTTCGAGTTGTAACAGCTTGCCCAGATAGGTTCTGTGGTTTGTAAAGGCCGTTTATTTCAATCTGCTATTTACTATTTTAAGAGCATGGGTCATTTCTGTTAATGCTTCCCGACCCTCAATTTTGCGGCTTGACCCCCAGTGATGTTCGCTTTGTGGGTATCGCATCTGATTCCCTTAGAGAAACAATCGCTGGAAGGTGTTGGAAGCGGAGGACTTGTGAATGACTTACCGGCCAGCTTAACAACACAGATATTGAGCAGAGCTAGCGAGGGCTTCAAGGCAGGCTGTTTCGGAATGATGTGGTTCCCATTTTTTGTCAGATGTTACATGTGCTTTCCTGGCCCTGGAAGCGCTTCATCGCAAATATTCACCAGCCTTTGCTCATTCGCCCCATTCGGCAGGCTAGGACTTGTTGCAGCGTCAAGAGCCACTTGAAAGGCCTGAAATGGGGTTTGGTGCCCTTGAAACCCCCTCCACCCCCCTCCACCCCCCTCCACCCCCCTCCACCCCCCTCCACCCCCCTCCGCCCCCAGAAAGTCCCAAACCGTGCCAGGTGGCAATGCTTTGCGAGCGGTCTTTGGCCATGTTCAGCTGCGGGCAACCTGCAGCGAGCTGTTTGGCGGCCTGCGCCCTCAGGGCGCCCTTTGCCTTTCGAGCGCCTCGGGCGCGGCTGGCCGCTGACCGGTCAGCGGTTTTGTTCTAGGGAGAACTTCTGGGTCCCACGTTCAGAAAACAACGTTCTTGGAACATGTTCCAACATTCCGAGAAGATAAAGCTTTTGTTTGGAAGTTAGGGAAGTTAGTTAGTCCCAGGCTGTATCGCAAAGAACGGTCCAGCAGCGTATGTGGGTCAGGAGTTTCCATCCCACTATCCCAGCAAGCTTGATGGGAGGTGTCCTGGAAGACCATTTTCCTTTGGGAAAACGCGGCAGGTGCTCAGCGCAGAGGTTTCGATTACTCTGGATTACCCAACCTAAGCATTGCTGATACACGTGCCCTTTCTTTGTGTTTTGGAAATGGGGCGGTCGCATCAGCCAGAACCAAGCTATTTGTCACGCTTTATGGTTGCATGATTATATGCAGCTTCCGGGCTAATTTGCGACCGCAGTTTTCGTACGCAGTGTTTGTACCCTAGTTGGACACATGTTTTTTCCTTCAGAGAAAAGCAAACGGAGGTGGCCGAGTAAGTAGTTGGGTTGGCTAAGAAGCCTCAACAGCGCCACTGGCATTGGGTTTTATGAAGCCATTGGGTTGTTGTTTTTCTTTGGGAACCAAAAGCCGGGCAAGCACCCGGTCTTTCTTCAAGAAGGACTTCGCTGTGTTCCCACCATGACCCGCTGAGGACTGGCGTTTATTTTTTGTTGTTTGTGTTTTTTTGGTTTCAAGTGTTTTAGACCGCCATTGGCATTTCTCAAATAAAAAGCAAACCAAACATCAATAAAGTCACGGCGAGCACCCCGAAGAACTCGAGGACTGGCTCTTGACCGGCGACAACACCAACACGCTGGTGGGCGCCTTGACCAGTGCCTGGCCGGCCTTGCGACAGTGCATCGACCAGCTGGCGCCTTGGTTGAACTTTCTTCGCGCCTGACTCAGGTAGCCCTGTGCTGGTTTGGATTGGTAGCTCGGGAATTCGAACCCCTGGTTTTTTTGTACGGGATAAATGATTCTCTTTCTTCTGAATCGGCGAAAGCTAGGTCTGATTCTTACGGTATACAAAAAATTGTTGGCATGCTCCCAAACCACTACGGGGTTGAATGGGAGAGCCACAGCCACTTAGCCATTCGGGCATGTACCCTATGTCATCCTGGTTTAGATTTTTTCCGTTTTGGGTTCAAATCTGGCATCAGGTGACTGTTGAGTGAAGGATTCGAGCCGCACCCCTCCAAACCACCGGGCTCCATGCGACCCATGCGAGCGGAGAAGCCGCGAGGACCTGGTGCTGCGCCTGGTGCTGTCCTTGCTGCCCTCGCCGCCCAAAGCCGCCCAGCTTGTGCCGCTTTGCGCAGACACCCTGGAAGCGGAGGCCGGGGGTTAGACGGAAGCTGGCGGCGTCCTGGGGGAGATTGGTGTTCCAAGAAGTGGGGCACACCCTCTTAGTAGCCAACCAGAGGCTTATTCATCCCAACTTGGTTCATAAAAAAGCCGGAAAAAAATGCGGATAATGTCCCTCGCATCATGAATATTGGCTTTTGTTGGTTCCCCATTTTGATTATGCAGGTATGTCCACCCCGTAGAACCTGGCGGATTCTTGGGGATTTGTGTCTCAAAGTGAAGGCTGAAGCATCCCCTCCTACAGGGACGCCCACCGATCAATTATGTAAGCAGAACTTGATGGCATCCTTCTTCACCTTGCTGGTTCTCAGCCTTCACATCAAAGCAGGATCCAAAATCCACCCATTCAATTTGTTTGTTTCGTTCTTGCACATCTTTTGCTCCCTCGCCCCCCTCCCCCCCAACAAGACCAACAAAAAAAAGAAGCGGAAAGATCACAAATATGCCACGGTCATGGGGGTGCTGCAACGCTTGGAGCCCCTCCTCTCATCTAAGTACCTGTGGCCCAAGGGCCTCAGCGGGCTTGATTTGGGATATTGGGGGAGTTGGTGGTCAGTCTTTACATAGGACACGCATCATTATTAGGCAAAAAAACATGGTCTCCTTTCTTACCACCTTACTCTCAAGTTGGAATGTTCCGGAAGTGAAGCGTGCAACTTGCGGTTTCCTAGTTCCCAGAGGGTCCCAGCGTTCCCCAACCCCTTCTTGACTCCCTACTGAGAAGCGTTATTTCAACAAGGAGGTTTGGAATCAAGGGGTTCTAGTGTCTTTTGCTTTGTTGTTTAAACTGATATATGAAAAAATTAGAAAGCATGAAAGCAACTTAACCAATATTGTTGAGTTGTAGCAATTAGAGCGGCATCCCACAAGCATCCTTTTGGTGTTGAATCCTCAGGATCTTCCTTTTGTAGGCTGTCTTTAAAATTTAGTGGTTTGTGGTCTTTGCTGTGCTTCCGTGAATACTTGTTTTGCGCTGGGCTGGTTTAGCAAAGTGTGTCATTTGGAAGTGGGCTGTTTGGGGCTCCAGTCGGTTGGCTGGCTTAGTCTTTGTTTTTAGTTTACTATTGATTAAGTAACGGTCTAATATTATTGGTTAGTTTTGGTTCAGCACTGATTTGCTGTTGGTTTAGGACTGGTTTAGCAATGATTTATTTAGTTTAGACTTGGTTTGGTGTTCAGCATGGCTAGGGCTAGGAGTCGTGTATAGTCATGTTGTTTTGTATTCCCTACCCCCCCCCCCCCCGCTCTGACGGGTGTTTTTTTCAACCCCCCCCACTGTGGAAACAGGCAAGCTGGTTTGCATTCCCTACCCTAATTTTCAGGCAAGACAATCATTTGTTGCATTCCCTACCCTGTATTTCCTGTTATTCGGCGGTATTTGGCATCAATAGACTCAAAGCATGAAATACGGAGAGCATTCTGCTGAATGGGACAGGCAACGCCAATAAACTGTTGTAGTCAGAGGATCAGATCAAAGAGTTGACCAAGGAAGAACATATCCAACAAGAACTTGGAAGCGAGAGAGCAGGGCACGGCGTGCGCAAGCTAGCCACGCGTGGGCACGAGGCGTAAAGGGGGAACCATAGCAATCGCTGGCACGAGGAACGCATGACGAGTACACTCACTTGCCCAAAGCCGACCTTTTGACTTGTTAGTTTCACCTGTTTGGTGAATTTTTAGTCATGGCCCAAAAGGTTAACCTTTTGTTTCTGGGTCCTTTGGGCAACTCAGTGTTGCATTTTCACCACTGGTTGCCAACTAATCTTTTCACGGAGGTTTAATGTTGGGCATCGCCCAAATAGGGACGCATACTGGCGGTTGAGCGACGCTCGCTTGTGCGAAGCCATTTCTCAAGACCTGGGTGGCTGTAGCTTGACGCATCCAGCTAGCTTCACATGGGAAGGTCAGAGCGCGTCATTGGGAGAAGTCGGAGCCGCTCTGTGACGACGATAACCCTTACTCTCTAGAGACAGTCCAGCGCAAAGCCGAAGAGTACCTGAGCAATGCCGCCAGCGGAAAATACTTGGCGAGACCTCTGGGGTGACAAATGCGCACATCACATCCACAATCGCGATGTCTATATTGGGAAGTCATTGGGAGACGTCGGTCGATGGATGGACTAGGATCCCCAGGGCTTTCACGTCAATGTCGAGATATTGAAACCAAAGAAGGCAAGTTGCTTCTACAAGTTCGATGCTTGGCCCGGGGATTTCAGGCAACTTGTGGACAAGGTCCTTGTGAGAATGTCTGCAACGAAGTTGGGATCCCTGCCCGCGGACATCAAAGCACGGCTGGCAGTGGAGGATTGCGCCCATGTATGCCCAGAGTTGAAGAAACACGATCCAACATTGACATGTCCTCCGACGACAAAATGACGATCCCAATTCAATTGCCGCTTGGTTTCATCGCCACTTGCTGCTGAACTCTGTTCAATATGTGCTTCAGCAGTGCTTGCTGTAAACAGCATGACCTATTTTGCTATATGTGCATCAAGTTGCTCAATTCCAGCATGCAATGCAGGCAGCGATGGCAAAGCACGGTGCGGACATGTTATTGGAAGCGGTTTCCCTAAAAAAGAGCACTCACATTCATAGGGAGTAGCTTTCGGATTCCATGGGCAATCCCAGGCCGGTTGAATCCGAAGACAGTCCTTTAGCAAGCCACCGAATCGGTTTGGAGGGAAATAGGCACCCCGTTGTGTGAGAAAGCCCTGTGATTTCATGAGAATTTCCAGATACTCGAAGTGCTCCCCTGCTTGCGGGCTTTTATATAAGTGGGCTCTCTCCACCGGCACCCCTGGTAAGGCTTGTCCAAGAGGCTTGCCAACAGAACTACCTGTCTGGGTCCTGCTTGAACATTCTCCCAATCTTGAATGATTTGTGGGCCTCTGGCCGGTTTGCCATCATTGAAACATTGACTAATAGTCACCTACAGGCAAATCTCGCAATTCTGAACCCAGGGATTGGTTTCTGGAGAAAACCACCGGACCAGAGAACTGTTCGAAACGCGATGGCCGGAAAGCTTTGGGCTTCATTTAAGTTGGGGGATTCGAGAGGCCGATGGCGTGGAACATGTCTGACTGCACCCTGATTTTTTTTGACACTTGGTTTGCGGGCCATTTTTCCTGTGGCATCACAGAAAGGAGGATGTTTTATAACAATCCTCAAACAGGGGCAACTCCCGGGTTTGCAAAGGTTTCACAGCTTTGCTCTTGACTGAACATGATGGCAGACACGCATCTCTTGTGTGGGGTTGGGCAAAGACTTGGATGGCCAATCTTGAGCCAGTATCCCGTATTGACGGGCTGGGTTTGAACCATGAACAATCTACCCGTGGACAAAAAATCCGAAAATCCATGGCCAAATGGAGACCCAAACGCGTGCTCTCTGTGTTTTTGGAGGGCGCCTCGGTTTTTTTTTTGTTGTGGTTTTCAAGCAGAGACTGCCCGACTCAGGTGCGCTCGGACTCGAGCTCTCTGTGCTTCGCCGCGGACAGCGGGGAGCGCTTCGCGAACGCGCGGCGCACGGCGCGGCTGGCGGATCTCATGGCGAGTTTGCTGTGGACGCCGTGGCCGAAGTCAGAAAAGTCCAGTCACTCAGTTCCCGAGTTCCGTTTCGGACTTTAGTCACTTGGGTTTGGAGCATTTTAGTTGTAAACCAGAAAAGTTCCGACTTTTCTTGGACTATCCACTCAGGAAGTGAGGAGTCAAAATGTGAGAGGTATTCCAACTTTAGGACACATAGGGGACTGGTTGGCTTGTTCCAACAATGAGCACCCTGATTTGAGTCCAGGATCTCTGAAAGGATACATTTGGGTTTCACTGAAGAAACTGCAAATAGCTCCACATGCTTATGAAGCAATTGGCTATTGGATGTTGTCATGTACGGAAACCTGCTCAAGTCATTGCCAGACAAAGCTCACCTATTTGCCAAGGAGGACCGTTTGGTTTTTGCCTCATCCGTTTTTAGCCAGAAGGCAGTTAACTGTTTACAGCGAAGGAGACCAGGGACCGCAACATTGGACCCAGCAGTTGGGTCTCAAGGGCCAAGATGTTCTTTGGCTCCGAAAGGGGGAGGCTAGGTGTTTGGTTTTGGGTTTCCTTCTAAAAAACAATACGAAACACGGGGCCCATTTTGAGACCACTTCTTTGTTTTGGGAGGGTCACTTCCATTTTCCGGGGATCTCGGCGACAAAAGAAATCCCTGGAGGCGACCCGCAGCTGGAGGGTTGGATGCATGCCCGCAGAAAGGGAAAACACACACCCTCAGTTGCTGAGTTCCGTTTCGGACTTTAATCACTTCTTCCTATTAATCAACCTACCCCCAATAATAAAACTCCCCCGAGTCGCGGCAAAAAATCGGCAATACTAAATTTAGATTGGCCAATACTAAGCCAATACTAAACTCCTGAGACTGCACATGCTGTCCACCAAGCTCCCAAAATATGCTTATTAGGGGTCCCCCCTCCAGAGTGTGTTGAAACAAGAAGGCTATGGGACACTCCCTTTCGAAGTTCTTACTTAAAAGTTGCGATCTGAGCAGTTGTTGCTCCAAATCAAAGGAGATGCACTTTCCAATGCAAGTCCAATACTAAACAGCAAACTATCAACAGGATCTAGGCCCAAACCGGCGACCCCCCCAGTTTTGTTTCTTTTGGGGGGGATTGTTTTTTTTTGTTTAAGGGAGAAGCGATTAGTCAATGTTTGGGTTTGGACCCTTTTAGTGGCAAACGGAAACGTCCGGACTCTTTTTTGGACCATCCACGCAGGAAGGTGACTGCTGGCTGTTCGAAGCAATCCGAAAACCGTCCTTGTGCATAAGATTTTTTGTAGCTGACGGGGGGCTACCAGTTTTGGTCCAGCTCTTGGCCCCACAATAAACCTTCACCAGGGCTCCTTCAAGGATACATTTTGCCCGGCTTTTTCCACCAAAATAAAGGGAAACCACCATTTACAAGGCAATGATCAGGTGTTTTTCATGCAAAAATCCCTGTTCACCTCTCTTTATTTCCGGGTGGCAGGTGCCCACCACACGAGCCACTCATCCTCTCGCTCGATTGTCTTCCGAGGAGCTCCGCCGCGGCCGCGGAGGTGGCCAGGGAGGTGTGCGGCCAGCTGGACCGGCGCTGCCTGCCCTGGGCCCTGCCCAGAGCTGAGATGACGAAGGTTGAGCCCAGACGAATCAGCCAATTGGTGGGGATTCGGATTCATGTCCACCACTGTTGAGGGGTTTCTTAAGATTCAAAGCCATTTTCCTTCTCATATTCCATCCTCATATTCCATCAACAACCAGTTTATTTCTTTGGGGATGTTTTGTTCTTCCCTGGGTTTAGTGGGGCGTCACTTTTGGAGGGGAACACCCGCTATGCATAAACTGGGGTTGATTAATATGGGGTCAACACCATCCCCCCGTGTTTGCTGTTGGCGGTTCAGACAGGCGTCCGGTTCCTTAGGCGTTTAGGTTTTTTGGGTTTAGTGGGGGGTGTCCGTTCAAGACTAACAGTGTAGCTTCTATGAGGATAGAAGAGAAGGAATATGGCTTTGAATTTTAAACCCCTGAGCAGTGGTGTACATGAATCCGATAAATCCCCACCAATTGTTGATCGCATCAGGGTTCCCAAATGAAAGTCGGATTCTTGAAAAACTCCACTCATGGATCAAACAACCAATGCTTTAAACTCACTCCCTCAGTTCCAGGGCTCGAGTCACTTTTTGGGAAGACCATTTTTTTGGTCTTAAAGTCCAAACTTTTCCTGGCCAATCCACTCAGGAAGTGAGTTCAAATCACACGCCAAGAATCACAACGGTTTCTTGGACACCCAACGTCCGAGGTGCTTGGTGCGACTCTGCGAGCGGCAGCCTGAGCTGGCGCCTGGGTGGAACAGTGAGTACATCAAACTCTCTGCCAGGCCAACAGCTGCCTGGTTAGCCCGTTTTTTTCGGGGGTTGAAAGGGAAACCAAAAAGGAAGCCAACCTTGGATTTTTCAGACAAAAACACATTCACGAGCTAGCTGTTAACTGCTTTGGCGCCCCATTTTAGCCTTGGCCGCATTCCACCCATTCCGCTTCAGGCGGCGGATTCGGCTCTTCTGGCGCAGCTCTGTGGTGCAGTGCTGCGGCAGCTGCAGAAGGGCGTACGCCTAGAGATGGAGACTTGGCAAGGGAAGGGCGCCCGGACGCCTGGGCGCCTGGCCGCCTGCGCCGCAAATTTGCTTTTTGAGTTTATGTTTTTTGTCTGCAGTGGAACCTATTGGTTGTCTCCATGACAGGAACCAAGCAGCCGGAGCCAATGAGCTTGAGGTCGAAAAATGGGAGGTGCCCGGGGAACCAACCGCAGGCCGCCACGTCCCGTCGCCCGAAGCCAGGAGCTTCCGGCGCTGCAGGGGGCGCTCCTTGCGCTGCTGGAGGCTTGGGCGTGGCACCGGCTGGGCTGGCACTCAGGCGACGACGCTCTGCCGCTGCCCCTTGGGTAGAGGTTTCGGGTCGGGTGGTCCCGGGGTGGGGGTGGTGAATGCGGCCAAGGGAGCTTGCAAAGGGATTTGGGTTGCCTCGATGCAGGTGCTTATGGGCATTCCTTGTGTTGTTTCTTTTTGTTTAACCACTTTTTGCGCAGATCTCTTCAAGGGGTGAAGCCACTGGTCTGGATTCATCGTGTATCTGCGTATGGTTCTGCGTTGTTGGCATCATGTACCTTGCTTAGTGTCTCTTAGACTTGCTTGTTCTCAGCAGGGAATGAGGGAATGCCCCCTATAAACCATCCCCCATGCTTTCCTTTAAGGGGACCATATAGGGATCCCCAGGCTTATTCCCAAACAAGTAGAATGGAAACCAGGCATGTGTAGCACCGGGTTTGGTCCAAGGTGGTGCAGCCAGCTGACGGAGGCCCGGTGCTCGATTACCAGCAGTGGCATCGTGGAGCTGCTGCCGGCGCTGGACGTGAAAGAGGCACCGGAGTTGGCGGCACAGCGGCCTGGCACAACACGGGGGGGGGGATTGCAGGGGAGGCATGGGGGATGGGGGGGGGGGGGGTAAAATTTCATGGAGAGGGATGGGGGGCTTCCCCAAATGTTCAGACCCAAAAAAGGCCTCATTCAGCGATCCTTGGTTTGATTGTTTGTTGGGTTCCGGCGTGAAAGGAGTCTAGACGGGCAGGCTGCACGCCATCTCAGACTACGTGAAGCAAGCCCTTGCCAGCAACCAGACCTCCGCCAACTTCTGGCCGCTGCTGTCGGTGGTCTTCCTGCTGGCGCCGGACAGAGTGAGAGACCTCCAGGCGGGCGCTCAGAAGTCTGGCAGGGTTCCCTTGACTTGCCGTTTCGGTCCTACAGGGTTCCACTTTTTGACTGCGCCAAGATAGACTTACACCCATGGGGTCTCTTGGTTCTCCTTTTGCGGGGAATGAACGACCCGTGGGTTTAAGTCTATCTTGGGGTAGTCAAAAAGCGGAACCAAAGTTGAAGGTGACTTGCTGGGGGATCCTCAAACGTATTTTGTTTGGGTTGGGGGGCAAAACATGTGGCAGAAGTGGCGATGTGGCTTGTGACTTCTCCTGCTTGGCGTGGTATTTCCCTTTTTGATGTTATACTCCTGGGCAACAACATGGAATCCACATAACCTTCGCCGTATTGTGGAAAGCTGAAGGTTTGTTTTCCGATGTTGTTTGAAACGCGAAAAGCTTGGTTATCCCACTTGTTCAGCTGCCACTGGTTTCCTTTTTTTCTGGGGCTGGGTGGGATCACGAACAATGGCCAACACCCCAAAAGTAGCTCGGGATCAGCTTCAGCGAAGGAGAGGTGTTGCGGAAAAGTCTCATTGAAAGGAGACCACAGCTTAACCACCACGCTCTAATGGGGACGGAGGGGTATTTATTTTAGGAATATCTGGGCTTCTGGGCTTCTTGGCTTCTTGGCTTCTTGGCTTCTTGGCTTCTTGGCTTCTTGGCTTCTCGGCTTCCTGGCTTCTTGGCTTCTTGGCTTCTTGGCTTTTCGGCTTCTTGGCTTCTTGGCTTCTCGGCTTCTCGGCTTCTGGGGCTTCTTGGCTTCTTGGCTTCTCGGCTTCCTGGCTTCTTGGCTTCTTGGCTTCTTGGCTTTTCGGCTTCTTGGCTTCTTGGCTTCTCGGCTTCTCGGCTTCTGGGCTTCTTGGCTTCTTGGCTTCTTGGCTTCTTGGCTTCTTGGCTTCTTGGCTTCTTGGCTTCTTGGCTTCTCGGCTTCTTGGCTTCTTGGCTTCTTGGCGGCTTCTTGGCTTCTTGGCTTCTCGGCTTCTCGGCTTCTGGGCTTCTTGGCTTCTTGGCTTCTTGGCTTCTTGGCTTCTTGGCTTCTTGGCTTCTTGGCTTTTCGGCTTCTTGGCTTCTTGGCTTCTCGGCTTCTCGGCTTCTGGGCTTCTTGGCTTCTTGGCTTCTTGGCTTCTTGGCTTCTTGGCTTCTTGGCTTCTTGGCTTCTTGGCTTCTCGGCTTCTGGGCTTCTAGGCTTTTCGGCTTTTTGCTGGTTTATGCGGCTTTTGGTGGCTTTTTGGCTTTTCGCATCCTTTGCATTCCCAGTTCCTCTTCGGCAGGTGGCGTTTTTCCGACATCATGGGGGGGGCTGCCGCCCCCCCAACCCCCCCGCTACGTTTTAGATTTTCTGCAGAGATTTAATTAGTTGCACCCCTAGTTGAATCATCAATTCTTCGAACATCATGGGGGGGTTGCACCCCTAGTTGAATCATCAATTCTTCACCATCATGGGGGGGGCTGCCGCCCCCCCCAACCCCCCCGCTACTTTTTAGACTTTTTGCAGAGATTTAATTGCACCCCTATTCAAATCATCACTTCTGCAAACAACATCGTGGGGGGGGCTGCCGCCCCCCCCAACCCCCCCGCTACTTTTTATATTTTTTTACAGGGATTGACATGCCCTCCTACTTGAATCATCATTTCTTTGACCCCGTCACACGATTTGTGGGTGATGCTAGGGATGTTGGTGGGACATGCGGGGTATATTTCGCGAGAACATGCTGTAAAATACGACACTTTACTGGCCCGGCAGAGATTGAATTGCACCCCTGTTTGAATCATCACTTTTTCGAGCATCCAATTTCGCGAGAAAATGCTGCAAAATACGACATTTTAGGTAATCTGTGTAGTCCGTGTATGTCTGTATGTATGCATTTCTTCGAACATCATAGGGGAAGCCACCCCCGCCAACCCTCCCGCTGCCTTGTAAATTCTATCACACCCTTTCTTGAATCATTGCACCCCTACTTGAATCACCACTTCTTCCGACCTCATGGGGGGGCTGCCGCCCCCCCCCAACCCCCCCCGCTACGTTTAGATTTTCGACAGAGATTTAATTAATTGCACCCCTAGTTGAATCATCAATTCTTCGAACATCATGGGGGGGGGCTGCCGCCCCCCCCAACCCCCCCGCTACTTTTTAGACTTTTTGCAGAGATTTAATTGCACCCCTATTCAAATCATCACTTCTGCAAACAACATCGTGGGGGGGCTGCCGCCCCCGCCAACCCCCCCGCTACTTTTATATTTGTTTACAGGGATTGACATGCCCTCCTGCTTGAATCATCATTTCTTTGACCCCGTCACACGATTTGTGGGTGATGCTAGGGATGTTGGTGGGACATGCGGGGTATATTTCGCGAGAACATGCTGTAAAATACGACACTTTACTGGCCCGGCAGAGATTGAATTGCACCCCTGTTTGAATCATCACTTTTTCGAGCATCCAATTTCGCGAGAAAATGCTGCAAAATACGACATTTTAGGTAATCTGTGTAGTCCGTGTATATTCAAATCATCACTTCTGCAAACAACATCGTGGGGGGGGCTGCCGCCCCCCCCAACCCCCCCGCTACTTTTATATTTTTTTACAGGCATTGACATGCCCTCCTACTTGAATCATCATTTCTTTGACCCCGTCACACGATTTGTGGGTGATGCTAGGGATGTTGGTGGGACATGCGGGGTATATTTCGCGAGAACATGCTGTAAAATACGACACTTTACTGGCCCGGCAGAGATTGAATTGCACCCCTGTTTGAATCATCACTTTTTCGAGCATCCAATTTCGCGAGAAAATGCTGCAAAATACGACATTTTAGGTAATCTGTGTAGTCCGTGTATGTCTGTATGTATGCATTTCTTCGAACATCATAGGGGAAGCCACCCCCGCCAACCCTCCCGCTGCCTTGTAAATTCTATCACACCCTTTCTTGAATCATTGCACCCCTACTTGAATCACCACTTCTTCCGACCTCATGGGGGGGCTGCCGCCCCCCCCCAACCCCCCCCGCTACGTTTAGATTTTCGACAGAGATTTAATTAATTGCACCCCTAGTTGAATCATCAATTCTTCGAACATCATGGGGGGGGGCTGCCGCCCCCCCCAACCCCCCCGCTACTTTTTAGACTTTTTGCAGAGATTTAATTGCACCCCTATTCAAATCATCACTTCTGCAAACAACATCGTGGGGGGGCTGCCGCCCCCGCCAACCCCCCCGCTACTTGTTTACAGGGATTGACATGCCCTCCTGCTTGAATCATCATTTCTTTGACCCCGTCACACGATTTGTGGGTGATGCTAGGGATGTTGGTGGGACATGCGGGGTATATTTCGCGAGAACATGCTGTAAAATACGACACTTTACTGGCCCGGCAGAGATTGAATTGCACCCCTGTTTGAATCATCACTGTTTCGAGCATCCAATTTCGCGAGAAAATGCTGCAAAATACGACATTTTTAATCTGTGTAGTCCGTGTATGTCTGTACGTATGCATTTCTTCGAACATCATAGGGGAAGCCACCCCCGCCAACCCTCCCGCTGCCTTTTAAATGCTATCACACCCTTTCTTGCAGAGATTTAATTGCACCCCTGTTCGAATCATCACTACCCCGCTCTGTTTTTCTTAATTGTTTTTTTGTATTTTTTTTGCTGGGATTGAAATGCCCTCCTGTTTGAAGCATCATTGTTTTGACCCCGTCAACCCTGCCAGCTACATTTTTGGATTTTGTTACCCACAATTTGTTGGTGATGCTAGGGATGTTGGTCGGACATGCGGGGGATGTTGAAAACGATGCTGGGGATGTTGACGAGCTAGTGTAAAATGCGTCAATTTCGCGAGAAAATGCTGTAAAATACGACATTTTGCTGGCCCGGACGAAAAACGAAAAAAATTCCCAAAACAAAACGAAAAAAATTCCCAAAATAAATCCGCACCCAATGGGGACAAACAGAGGGCGCGCCTTCAACGCAGACAATCGTTTTGAGGAGTTACGTTCAATTCATCTACATGCTGGCTGGATCCCAAATGAACAAGCATCGTGAGAGGCCAGTGGTTTGGGGTGTTTCCTGAATGGTCCCGAGAAGGTCATCCAAAGAGGATTTCTATGCTTCAGAGTCATGCGCGTTTTCAGTCCCCAAAACATGGGGTCAAAAGGTGAGCTTTGCGGCAGGAGGAGCTGCTGACACGGAACCGCTTCTCTTCAGCGAGCCTTTTTGGGCAGCACCTGACAGTGGATGTCCAGAAGCGTTTGCTGGAGGCCGGGGTTCCCGATGTGGGGAACATACGTCGCGCAAACCCAAGCGAGCGCTGAAATGATATGGCTTCCACGCCCAAATCACTACGGGTCGCTGGGGGGAAGTGGGGTATATAGCCTTTGCAAAATGGCTTTAATTGCGCCGCTGAGGGTAGTGGTTGGGGTAGTGGAAACCACCGTAGATCTAAACCGCTGCCAATAATTATGCTTAAAGACCTCGTTTAGGTGTTAAGCGGGTCCCGACGAATCTTGGCTGATAAAAAAGGGGTACTTCTCCCAAAAGTAGAGGACCCTTTCTCAAATAGGACGCCACGCTCTCATCCACCAGGGCTTGATTATGTACAGTACTCAACCGCCTTGGCCCCTTCCCCACTGTCGGGTGGACTTGTCGAGGGGTCGTCTTTGGCCTTCAAGAGGATGATGGACAGCTCTCTCTCTCTCTCTCTCTTACAAGGCTTCCCCTACCCCCAACCCGCAAAGCAAGGCAGGGAGGGGCTTGTTGGTGTCCAAATCCGACTCTTGGACATATGCATCAAGCTTCGAAAAGACCATCACCTTTCATGCGCTCAGCTGCCCAGTGGCACCTATTTTTGCAGGGGCCAGGAGTTCCCTCTAAAATCAACCAACGCCTAAAAAAAGCGCTGCAAAGCTCAGAAAACACTGCGAACACCATGGTTTCGTGCATGTGGCCATCCCAAAAAAAGCACCCCTTCTGCGCAAAAGCGGGCTGCCCTGCGTTTTCCATGGGCTTCTCGGCTGCCTCCTCTTGTCATAGGGCCTGCTGAACGAGCCCCTGGAGCAGCAGCTCAGCTTCCTCTGGCTCAGCTCGGGCCCGCGCAGCGACGCTCAGGACCGCCGAGACACGGCGGAGGAGTGGCGTCTCGGAGCCGAGGTCCGGGTCGGTGAGGCCTGGGGCCCCGAGCTAGGTGCCCTTTTACCGTTTCTGTTTTGGTTGGGAGGGCTGTTCTACGAAAACAGAAAACAGAAAAATCGGGTACCCTTATTCTATACCTCTCTACTGGAGGGCCCAGTGAGGCTTGGGGCCCGTTTGTGGGTTGGCTTTTTTCAGGGAAACCAAATGGAAATCCACTAGTTTTGCGGGAGGGGGGCTTTAGACACCCCCTTACAGCCCAACAACGGTGGCCAAGTGAGGCCCGTGGAGTTTGACGACTTCTTCCTTTCGGTGCCCCGGCGCGAAACTGTCCCGTCCCACTGCGCCGCCTGGGCCGCGCGCAAGCGCCGCAGCGCCTGCGCGTGCCTCGAGACGGAGCTGCAGCGGCGCGGCTCGGCAAGTCACTGACTCGCCAGGGGGTGATGCAAATTTGGTTAACTTGCTGGTGCGATAGGTATGGAATGAGGGAATGAACCCAGGGGCCCTTAAAGGAAACCACAAGGGATGGTTCATAAGGGTCATTCCCTCATTCCCTGCAAATTAAGCAACTAACCCCAGGACCCTCCACAGAAACCAGCAGCATACGTTGTTTAATCAGCAGGTGGTTTAATCATGTTTAGTTTAGGGGGATGGCCCAACCCGGCCAAGGTGCGCCCCTCTCTGGAAACTTGGGTGGGGCGCAGTGGGGGGTTCTCAACTCAGTCAAGATAGTCCAAGCTTCTGGGGCTCAAAGATGATCTTCCAAAGTATCATGGAAGCCATTGAAAGGGGTTTGTCAAGAGCAAGGCATCCGAAACTTGAATGGAATTTCAGGACAATCTGCACAGGGGTAGCCCTTCCGTGAGTTGGTTTGCATCTTGGTGTTTGCGGGAGTGGCAACGACAAGGGACATGTTTGGGCGCCTGAGAGAGGCCTTCCAAGCAGCTTCACACCATGTCGAAAAGCGTTTCTTGCCCCCAGAGATGCAGCCTGGTGGCTTTTTGGGCCCAGAGGATGTTTGGTGACATATTGGATCAAACTCGGAAAAGAAACACGCAGGAGAGTGTTGGAAGACCACTGTCCTTTTGGGGAAACAATACTTCCTCTCCAATGATTGTTGGCAAGCGACAGCCCTGCAATCAATCAAGGTCCCTCAAGGGGTATATTTGGCCCGGCAAAAAAGTCACCTTTGCCACCTGATTGGGAGGACCCTTTTGCAAGTGGTTTTTGGATCCATCCCTCAAGGAACCCTGCTCTTCGAAAGCGACAGCCCGCATCAACTGCTTGGATGATGTCCCGCTTATTACCCTGTTTGTGAACCTCTGATTCAGTAGATTGGGAATCCAACAAGCTTCGCGCTTCTTCCAGAAGGATAATCCAGGAGCCCCTTGTAAAGCAGGAGGTGTTTGAACATGTTTTCCAGAATGACAGCCCAACATGGCATCACCAGGTTCCCATTCGCAAGCACCGGGCCTTTGTGGTTAGGCTTGGCTGCTGCGGCACTGAACGAGGAGGCCCGACCTAGCAGCCTGGCAAAAGTCACAAGTCGGGTCCCGCCGAGTAGTGGGAAGCTTTGACTTGGCCGCCTCTACTTGGCGATGCAAGGGGTTAGAAAGAACAGAAATGGAGTGCGCTCGGGCTTGGAACCCCCTAAAGCAACCCCAGGTGCTTAGCTGTCCAAAGCGATCAAGTCAAAGTGTGTGCCAATTGCGGCAATCAGGTCTTTGGAGCAGTTCACTGAAAAACCAATGACCCTTAGCTTCTGACCCTGGTCTGAGAAGGGGAGCCAACACCTCAGTTCTCCAACCGCAAAGCGAATCGACCTGAATCGACTTTTGGGGTGCTGTTTTCTGTCCTTTTTGCTCTTTGCTGTTGAATCCAGGTCCCGCAAGCAAGAGTTGTTTTCTAGTTCTTCGAGCAGGTGAAGTTAAGAGCGCTTCTCCCATTTCCCTGGGTTTGTGCGGTCATGGTTTGTAAGTCGCGTGCTTGCTAGTTCTGCGCTCTTCTTTGCTATGCGACGGAAGTCCCTGTATGCCCGCTTTTGGAGGTTCCGACCCTCGTTGGTTCGGCCCTATGGCAGGTTTTCTTTGGGATGGGGTGATAGGTTAATAGGGACCCCAGCCACAAACAACACAGGCTCACCATGCCTTACCACGCTTTGCTCAATCTGACTGGATGTTGCATTGGCAGAAGGTCACCCCCGGAAACATGAAAGATTACCCTTCTTGGGGCCCGCAAAGGTGCTTTCCTGAACTGTGGTTTCCTTGATTCATTGGGTTTCCTGTTTCGTTGTTGTTGAGGTTCCTACAATGTTCTTCCTGTACTCTGTCTTCAGGTCGTGCTCTTCCAGAAAAGCTGAGGAGGTCTCTCTGATCGGTTAGACTTGTAGGGGCTGTCTTGGTGTCAGCATAATCCCCGTGCTGACTTTAAAGAGAACCCCTACATGAGTGCAACGGCCTTTGCGAGAGGGCTGCCACCTCTCGCTGGCAAAGGAGGCAAAGGTGCACCCTTGACAATCTGCATTCCACATGCTTTGGCTGCGCATGAGCGGACTCACATGTTCTTCATGTCAAAAGGGTGGGGCTTTGAGGCTTCCCCACTAAAAGCAGTCAACCCCAAAAAGGGTTCCCTCTTTCTGCCAGGTTCACTGAGCATGCTTCTTACTGAGGGGCTGCGAGCATACACGCGTGTTGCTAGCCTCGACTTCAGGCTTCAGTGCATGCGGCTCTGGCCCCGATATGGACGAGGCGTGCAGATGTGTTTCTCACGGGCTATCGATTTCAGTCGGGAAAGTTACAGGAAATTGGCAAAACTACCAACCAAAGGCAAGCATTTTCTGTATAATTTCCTGTAGCTGGCTTCTTGAAGTCAGGGTAGCCGGAAATGCTGGAATTGGTTGTTTCCCGTGAACATTTTGCACTGGTCGCTTCTTCACCGTTCTTAGTTTGTCCGCTGCAGTTTTCGATTCTCTTCATCTTTAAAGTTTGCGGCCGAGGGGGTGTAAACAACAAAGGGCTTCGACTTTTCTATTCCACACATTCATGTTCCAGCATCACTCCAAACGTTTGGCCTTTATGCTAGTGTCTTTGACGGTAGCAAGCGGGGTGCGGAATCAGAGGGGGGCAACTGCCACAGATGTCCCAACTGGGACCTCCCACGAACAAACAGAGAACCCCGATCCAAAGAACCTGGTTTTGCAAAAGGGGCGTCCGCGGGTGTTCTGCCTCCAGGAAAACTATCACTTATTCAAGCCGTGATGACGCCTTCATGAGGAGACAATGCAACCGAGTCCCTGCAAATTAAGTTGGAACGCAGAAAGGGTTTTCCCAAAAAGTTATTTCTCTACAACCAACGGCTTTCTTGATTCCATTTAAATTTGCAGGGGAGAATATGAGTTGCCCGTACCATCTACTTTCACTTTAATGTTCAGCCCGCTTGCCATGGACCCGACCACGCCCTTCGCGATAGATGTCCTGAAGCATACCAGCCAACCCCTGCTATCCCCATAGCAGGCAGTGTGAGAAGCTCTTTCCTACATCGCTTGAACATCCAAGTATTCAAGAGATTGGGACAATGCACCTTTTCACTTTCCAGCACTTGGCAGAGGTTGAGTAAGTGGGTCTGACATAGGGGATGAACAAGTAGGCAAACGAGCGCTATTTTGTCTTCGAGCGTTAAATCAGCCAACTGGAAGGCTGCTTCGCAAAGGAATTGAGGCTCCTTTTGAGAACACTTTGCGCAATGCGGTCAATGTTTTGAACAGAGCAGCAGCTTGCCTGGATGAAACGGGGCCGCGCAACGAGCGCACATTCCCGCTACAAAAGCGAAATTGCCCACCACACGAGCGCACATCAAAAAGTGCTAGATTTGCCACGTTCGGCGCCCGCAGCAAATCTTGCACATGAGTGGCAGAAAGACGGAGCCCACACGATGTTTCGATCTCTGCATTCAAGCGCTTTTTCTTGAACCGAGCGCTTTTCAGATAAGCGCGCACATAATGCTCATCGGAAGATGCAGGTTTGTTTGCCCCTGGACAAATGGCTTCCCTCCCCTGGTCCTCAGAGGGTTTTTTTCCTTATGGCCAACATTGACTTCCCCCCAACGGAAGTCCTGGAGACTCAACAGGTGCATCAACAGGTGCGGGTTTCGCGATGTTTCATGCGTATTTTAGGTGTTGTAAGGCTGCGCAGGATTCCCCTACTGTGTCCCTTTGAATGTAGTCACTTTATAAAATGGAAACTCACTCCAAACGGGTCCTTTTGATGCAAAATTAAACCTTCCGAAAAGGGAAGCACAAGGACCCTACTTTCGGACGTTGAATACGCTTTCTGGGAGATTCGTGCGTGGGGCATCAAGAGATCCGTGGCGTTTCCACCCCAAACGCACAAAACCGCAGGGTTCAGTGCAACTCCATGATTTATTTCGCTTGTACCGACATTCCGAGAAAAGAAAATGTATGAATCATTGGTCCTCATTTGCTTTGCCATCCTCAAAAAAAGATGCGCCGCCATATATTCCGTGTTTTTTTGAGAGTACTTGAGTGCCTTTTTGATTTTCGTGGTTTTTAGTGGAAACCCCAGGCGCGCCATTTGTTTGGGTCATCCTAAAAGACGCGCCACCCATATTCCAAGCTGAGTGCTTCCGGCTGGTTCCCAGGTGCTGCTTGAGCGCACGCTCCGCGCTTGTGCCTTGGTGCCGGCGGAGGTCCCGGTGAGAGGGCGCTCGCTTCAGCTGTCTGAGCGGCCAGAAGGCCGGTGCGTGGAACCAACCGGTTGAGGTGTGTTGTTGTTTTTTTTGGTGGAAACGTGCCACCTGGCTAAACATCACAGGCACTTCCGAATCATCAGCTGGAAGGTTGAGGGGCTCAAGGAAGAATTGAAGTTGAAGATTCTCCAGAGTGGATTAGTGTTGCTGGCTTCTGATGCCACACCTTCCCTTCCATGAAGCATGGGTCATTTTGGAAGGGCGTCCTCGCCGCAAGTCCGGCCCAGGAGCCGCGGCCTTCGCTGCGGCCTGGGGCATTTTCGAGTCCAGGCGGGTTGCTCGAGCGGGCTGCGGCGCGGGCTGTGGCGCTAGCGGATGTGAGCATCCTTGCTCAGAGTTCCTCAGATCTGGTTTGGCGAAGTTGAACATCGGCTTAGCTGTTTGAAAGCGATTCTGCATGTACCAGGCAGTAGCTGGTAGGTTTTCAAGGCCCCTTGAAGGGGCTGTGCTTCTGCTGCAGGGTTTGGTCCTCAACTATGACCCTAATGCGGCTTTGTTCAGACGAAATTCCTTGGAGCCGGCGGCAAAGCGGCAGGTACACGGAGTTCAAAAACACACTGAGCCCCACTCGCGAAGTAGACCTGGGCCAGTGCTGCGCTCGGCTTTCGAGAGTCGAGAGAGAGGTTCGCAATGGGGGGGGCTTCAATGGCTGCCCCCCCTGGCAAAAAAAGTAAACCCAGGAACCCCCACAAAATCGGAAAACAACCGATGGCTGTCTGTGACTCGGCTCTCCGCCGTGAAAACGTCGAGGTCCTTGCGCTGCGTACAGCCGCTGCTCCCAGCCTTTACCTTGGCCTTGCGCCGCGGTTTTGTTTATTTTTGCTGCGAGGGCGGGCGGGCTCAGGGGCGGGGCAGGAGATATTTCTCGCTTGCTGAGTTTCGTTTCAGACTTTAGTCGCTTTTGGGGAAGACCATTTTAGTGGCAAACAGAAAGTTGTTTTTCTTGAACCCTCAACTTAGGAAGTGAGAAAGTGAGAAATATTCCCTCCCTCCAACAATGGAAGCTGACAAGAGGGTTGTGGAAGACTACCTCCCCCGTTTTTTGGGAAGCCCCAAATCCACTTCCACAATTGTTGGAAAGAGGGTAGCATTTTTTCGCGTGTGGCCAAACAGCCGGGCCCAGGGGGCGCATCCAAAACTGGATACACGACATCTGAGTGAACCCCGTTGGGATGGTATCCTCAAGAGAAATGCCACGTTTGGGGACGATGTTGCGAACCCCCTACCTTTGTTTTTTTCCTTTTTTTTGCGGCAACTTGTTAGTCCAAGAGCTCTGGGCCCCCTGTGTTCTTCCACAAAGGGGGGCGATCACTGCCTGGGATATAGAAGGGGGCCCAGGCCCGCGGAGTGGCGTTGTAAGTTTATTCCTCTTGGCCTGGCTTGAAACAAGCACCGAGGGTGCACTCACAGCGCGTTCGGAGAGCGCCGATGGTGGGGTGGAGTGGGGGGATGAAGCTTCGAGAATCGCCTTCCTTTTGCGATGCCAAGGGAGTTTCTTGGAAGCTGACGAAACGTTATGTTATAGGGAAGGAGATCCTTGGGCTAGCCTTCTTGTCTCCCAATGTTTCCCCTCTTTGTGTTTGTGAACGGCCCCATATGCACCCTGTTTTTGAGTTGCAAATGTGAGGAATCCTGTTGCCTTCCTCGCACTAATGTAGCATCGAAGGTAGGGTACCCGGAAAACAATTTTCTCTTGAAGCGACCACTATTGCGTGCCCCCTTTGTGGTTTGGTGTTTTTGTTTTCCCAGTATTCATCGTGCTTCATCCATCCCAAACGCATCCACCGGTCTTCCTGGACTTTGGACACCTTTGGACATTCTCATGGGGGCCGGCGGGAGGCCAACAATTAAGCCCCTATTAAGGCCTTATTTAGGGTTTGGGCTCCCCTCCCTCCTCCCCAGCCCCCATCATGGACCGGCACGCCGAGGTGGCTCCCTCAGTCCTCTGGGGGCCAGCAGCGCATGCTCACCGAGTGCTGCCCAGTCGCAGCTACGCCAAAACCAGGGTTCGCTCCATTTCCTCTTTTTTTTGAACTTAAAGTGAGAGTTTCAATGGAAACCAGTAAATTGATCAACATCTGAAGGGGAAATCCAGTGACCCCCTGTTAGCATCTAGGGTTGGTTAACCATGTAGCCAAGTCGGAAGACCTGTCCGGTGTACCCCAGATTGGGCCAAGAATACTTGTTACATCTCTTCGTTTTTTTTTTGTTTTTTTGCGGGGCTTTCTCATGGCCAATCAATAGTAAGGTGTTCGATTCTGAAACGCCGTCCGTCCAACTCTTTTTTCTGTTAGTGTGTTTGCTATTGATAATTTAGCGGATGGCTGCAAAGAAGAAACATCCTCCTCATTGAGGGCCAAGCAACCCTTGGGTTCTCCGCCATTTCTCTTTCGCATGGGGAACCAGGCCCTCTTATCAGTGGAGCCATTTTTTGGAGGTCGGGTCCCTTCATTCCCCAGGCTTCCCAGACGCAGCGAGATTGAGCGAGGCTTCAGACGCCTGCTGCAATTCGCCAACACCGTGGCGATTTGCTCGGCACGGCGCTCAGCAAGCTGCGCGTGTTTCAGAAGTGCTCAGGTCGTTTGGGGGGCGCCCATTGGTTTGAGGCCATGAGGCCATACAGGATGTGCATATTCGTATGGTTTTGGGAAGGTCATACCAGGGATAGGCTGGTGCAATATGCCCACCCCCTTAACGCGAATGCATGAGGACGGGACTGTGTACCAACAAAGGGACGGCATCTTTAAAGTCGATACATTTGTTCGGTATGGGTACCAACAACTAATGCACAGAGCTTGTTGGGAATCGAGAATTGAGACGCCGGTTGATCAATTGGGGCACCCTTATATGCAGATATATGCAGGGCTTTGGGGCCTGACCCCTTTAACCTTCGAGGTTCTACTCAAATCCGGGGTCGAGGTCGACCGCACTTGTCCCCCTTGTCCGGTTTTGTCGGTCACCTCTTTAACGAATGGGATGTCTGTGCCTTGTACTAAGTGCTTTGGAGGGCTGAGTTGGCAGGATGTTGGCAATCTTGGGGTATGTGTGTGCGTGTGTGTGAGTGAGTGAGTGAGTGAGTGAGTGAGTGAGTGAGTGAGTGAGTGAGTGAGTGAGTGAGTGAGTGAGTGAGTGAGTGAGTGAGTGTGTGAGTGTGTGAGTGTGTGTGTGAGAGTGTGTGTGTGTGTGCGTGTGCGTTTGCGTTTGCGTTGGCGTTGGCGTTTGCGTTTGCGTTGGCGTTTGCCTTGTTTTTGTTTTTGTGTGTGTGTGTGTTTGCTTGCTTGCTTGCTTGTTCGTTTGTTCGTTCGCTCGTTGGTTCGTTGGTGTGGTTGTCCAGGTTGGGATTTGGGAAAGCCATTGACAGAATGGTGTGTCATGTTCCTTGAATATAGCCCTCAAAAAGGATACCCTCACGAATCTGCGTAAGAAAGGTATCAACTCCAAAGGACAATCCCTTGCACTTGGAGATGTCCACATGACATGTCCAACGCAACATGCAACTGCCTCCCCCCCTCCCGTGGAAAAAAACGAAACAAAACAAACAGAAGACACAAACACCTCGGGAAAAAAACAACAACTTCCAGGACAAAAACCAAAACACAACTCCAAACACAACAGAAGAACCACCCTCCTGCCCCCTACCTCCCCCCCCCTTTCCGCGTCCCCAAAACGAGCAACACCCCCAACCCCGACCAAGCCGTTTGACCGATGTTGACGCCAGGCAGAAGCCCTCCGTGCTGCCAAGGGCCCCACGCCGGAGGCCCGGCGCCGCTTGAGCGGAGAGCCCATGGGGGTTCCTCAGATATGGGCGGCTCGTCTTCTTGTGGGGGGTACCTTTTTTGTGGTTTTCAGGTGGTTCCAAAAAGAGGGGAAACCCAAAGACAACTCCACCATCTGTTTTTGTGTTGCTTTTTGTTTTTGGCAGGGAGGGGGGGTGGGGCGGGTCGCCAAAAAATAGACACACCCATATGATTGTGTTTTTGGCATGCAAAGGTTTTGGCGAGAATCTGACAAACGGAATCCGAAGATCTTACGTATGCCTGAATCTGGCTGCCGAGATTTGTTTGGGCAAATATCTATTTAGCGATGTCTTTTGTATGTGTCGACTTTTGTTTGAAGGCTGGATCCACAGATCCAAAGGTGAACCCTGGGCGTTTTGAACCCGGCCAGCTACGCCACCGGCTCTGCCACGAAAGGGCCCAGCGCGCGACCAGTTTTAAACGCCTGGAGAAGTCAAATGAATGTTATCTTATTGCCAAAAGAAGTCATCAGGAACCTTGCGAAGGATCAGAAATTGCAATGAGTGAGTTCCAGGGCTAACATTCGGCGACAAGGGACTCAAACATGTATCCTCAAAAAAAGAGACCCAGAAGACCAATGTGCTCTCGGACCTTGGCGTTGCCAGGCCTTTTTCTCCGCGTTCTGCGGCGTGGTTTGGCAGGTCGCAGGCGCATTGACCTCGTCGGCCGCCCGGCATGGATGTCACGGGATCTGAACTTGCCCGCTTTGGCTCGCTTAGAAAAGGGAGGATACAGCAAATGTGTGTGTAGTGGTGGCCAAGAATTGCTCAGTGGTACATAAAGAAATCGACCTTCTGATTAAGGTTTAGTCAACGTCCCACAAGGTGATCTCCTGAATCTCCTGTGGGCTGTTCGTCAAGGCTGCCTTGCTGAGACCCTTGGCCTGTTGCAACCAAGATGCCCCCATGTCACATGTCATGGCACTCCTGCAGCTCGTTACCAGCTCGTTCATTTCTTTGGCGGTTTCCTCACCACCCTTGGGTGATTGCCCTGCGCAAGGCTTTCAATCGCCCGGGATGATTTGAACATCACCTTTTGGGCCTTTCTTCTTTTGGAGTGTTTCTTTTTCAGCCGACCGAGACCCTAGTGATGGGCTCAGGACTTCTCCTCCCTCGTCGCCACCTTGGCGGATAACCTCACGAGCCGCGACGCCGTGGGAGCTGCCGCGGCGAAGCTTCAGCTGCTCATCGCGCTGGCGGTGCAAGGCGCGAGCCGGACGCCAGTGATGTACGGGTTGGGCTAAAAGGCGGGGTCCAGAAAACACATCAAATGACTGTTGCAGGTGGGAATCGCCTTTGAACCGCCAGTTCCGCCAGTTGGAGACAATGAGAAAATAAAACAACCGAGCTTCAAGTTGGATTGCGCATTTGCACCCAACCGCGGGGGGGCAACTCTCCTGCGAGACGGAATGCAGGCGTTACACGAACCCCCCTTGCAAGACGGAATGTGACTAGGTGCGCGCATCAGCTGCGCACAAAACAGTGCAGAACTGTCATGTTGCTCGCTGTTTTGTTTGACTTTTCTGCCATGGGAAGAAGCCAAATGGCTTCCAGTCGCCCAGAAGTCTTCGAAGCTTAGCAGGGTCCGGAAGGTTTCAGAGAACCGATTTGTCCCTACTGTCTCTCTCCTTGGAAACAGGCCTAACGGCCTGAGGAAGCTTGCATGGGTGTCTTTTTTAAGGTGTTCCCCCCAGCCCAAACAAGAAATGAAAGGACTGATTGGTGTCCTTTGGATTCCCTCTAAAGCCAACCAAAAAGGGTACCCTCGAAGACAGACCGAGACCCATATGGATTCCCTTACGGATTGGAATTGCAGGGACCCAGTCGGCCGTGCCCAGATTGCCAGCAGCCGTTGCGGCAACACCTGCTGCAGCTGGCTAAGGAGGAGGGGAAGTGACGTTTGTGTTTGGTGTTTGGCCTTGATGACCCTTAGGGGTAGGTGTTAGGGTTAAGGGAATCACAGCTACATAGCTCATACACGCATTTGCAGTATATATATATATATAGAAATATGTATGTGTGTGGTGTGTCTGTATTTGTGCAAAAAAGGAAGCACACACACATATATATATATATGAGGGCCGTCCTAAAAACCCCAGTCTTCGGTTTTAATTATCGCCGAACGGGGAGAAGTAAAAGTTGTCAAAAGCTGTGCGCGCGCAAGGAGCGCGCAAGTGCGGCCCAAGGGACGCGCAAGGTTACAGTTTTGAAGGGTTTCATGTACCGATGCTTCATGAAAGGAGGTGGTATCTTCTTGATGTACTTGTGCTTTACGAATGTTGCTTGGGTCATGTGTAGGTCGCAAGCTTGTTTGCAAAGGTGCGGTGTTTTCTTCAGTCAGACGTCAAACGAAGCCAAAGCTTCTGCGGTCATGACTTCCACAATCAGCAGCTGACACGACAAAATCCGCGCAAGCCGCGCGCAAGCCGCGCGCAAGTTGCGCGCAAGCACGAGAAGCCCCAGTAAGACATCTAGCCATGCTGTCTCGGATGTCCTTAGCGGCGCGGTTCAAGCAATGGATAGGCACCCGCAACATGCACTTTCCTTCCTTCAGGCTGTGTCCAAGCTGTGTGGCAGAGACTGCTATCCTTTCTGTTGGGTCAAGGGTATGTTGCTGGCGTTGAATTGCCGGGAGCGACCTCAGCGGGAAGATTCTTTGCGGGTTGCTGTGTGAACGACAAACACACTGCTCAGAAAAGCTTGCGCGCAATCCACACGAAACTTCCCAAACCGAGGTCAACGAAAACGAGTTTCTGCGCCACTGTGCGCGCGCAAGTCCGCGCAAGTGCCGCGCAAGTGGGCCCAAGGGCCCAATCCCGGGCAGAGGAATATAGGACAACCCCCATATGTATATATATATAAATAAATACCAGCATACTTTTAGTGCCCTCCAATGAAGGGCACTTGATGTGTTTTTCAACCGAGGGCACTTAAGGCCGTGTCGGTGGCCTAAGTAACCCTTTGATTCGTTTGCGAAGTGCCCTGTTTGGCTTGATAGGGGTTGGGATTTTGTTGAAATCGAACAGCTACCCGTGTCGAAGTGTGACAACTGTCACATTTGATTGGGGCCGACCCGGAAAGCCCGAACATGGCGTTTTGAGTGTCAAAGCGTGTCATTTGAGTGTCAGTGGGGGTGCGAATCGAGGTCACTTACCCCTTGAAAAGGTCACTTACGCTAGTGTCAGCCCCCTCTGCGTTAGTGTCATTCGCGTGTCGCTGCAGCTCGATTTGCCCGCCCCTGTGTGAGTGTCATTCGCATTCACGTGTCGCTGCGGCTCGATTTGCCCGGACTGAGGAGGGTTCTGCTGGGGAGGGCAACCCTGAGGGTCTCTTAAGTGACTTCTTTAATTTCAGGACTAAGTGCCCATATTTTCGAAATGGATCGTAGCACCCAAAAAATGAATCGACGGCACTGAAACGAAGCTGGCATATGATATTTATATGTTTATTAATGCAAAAAGAAACACCCACAATTGCATGTATCTACTAGATGTGTATATATGGATGTATCCCGATTTCCATAAGTGTTTATGCGGGCCTTTGCCTCAGGACGAGGCTGCGGCCTTGAGCGCCATAAGGCTGGCGGCAGCAGAGCTGTGCTGGCACTTGGAGATCCTCGGCTCGTTTCAGCGCCATTGGTGTCGTTTTTGACACTTCTGAAAAATCAACTCTATGAGTTTCCGCTTCTAGTGGTGTTGACCCAGGATGAATACACCCGCCCCATTATTAGGGGGGTGTTCCCTCCAAAAGTGATATGAATCCCCACTATAAGGGGACACCCCCCTAAAAGAATCAACCAGGGGCTTGTTAATCCGGGGTTAACATTAGGTTGGTTTGATTGAACTGATTTAGATGGGGGTGCATTCCATGTACCAGGACCATCTATTTTTCCAAAAGGCCACCTCTGATAAGCGCAGGTGTCCAGTGAAAAGTCTTCCAATTTCCAAAAAATAAAAAGGAGGCAAGAGACCATGCGCACCCAAGGCGAAGCGACCGGATCTGATGATTTGACCTGTTGGTTTCCAGCTTGCTTTGCATGAAGTGATGGGCTCCAAACGGGTTTTGTTTTTTTTCCATGACTTGTTGCAAGTCTGAGAAAGATGCGTAATAAAGCTCCTACCTCAGTGGTTTCATGTGGTGTCTTGCTGGTCACCCTGCCAGCCAACAGGGGAACTCTATTTTGGACCTCGAGCCAAAGAGGAGAGAGGAGTCCAATGAGCAGTGGGGGGTTGGACAAAAGACTGCTCGCTTGGAACGCAAACTGCAATTTTGGCCCAATGTTAATCCACTACGTGCTGAATTTCCCATACAGCCCCAAGTGGATGGTTGACTTGTGTCTTTTCAAAGGTGGGCATCGTACCTCCGATCGCTAACCCCTTCGCCCAATAGCAAATCACGGCCCCCCAAAGAATGAACATTCGGCCAGAGGAAAAAATAACATATTTTGTTACTAGCGCCCAGTTCCGGGCAACTGTGTTTGTTTGTTTTTTGGGGGGCGGAGGGTTTAGTGTTGGCTTGCTGTTGCGGTGTACTCCCTTCCCCTTCCTTCTGAGACCAAGCAAAATGAACAGAAGCTGTTTTGTAGCAAAGAGACTAGCAGAAACTGGCTGGACTCTCTTTTGCCGGTCCCGACTGGAGTGGGGGTCGGCGAGGAAAACATGTTTAGTATCGGGGGCTTCGGAGTTTTGGACATGCACTGTATGATTAAGACCTGGGGTCATTCTTTTCACTGTCTGGAGGTTCTAAAAGTCCGAGCAGGTGTTTCCCTTCAACCTACCACTTGGTGGGGTGGCTTTGGTGGGAAGATCATGGGGGGTGGAGGCAACCATTGACACCCGAGGTGCCCACGTTCTGGACATCGCTCGCTCCATATCATGGAAAAATCGGACATGGCATGGTGAGACTCAAGGATCCAACATTTGCTACTGCGGCCCATAGGGCAGTGGTACAGAAAAGCAGGGTGCTTCCTTGAATTTAATGACTTTGGGGGTATTGCTCAAAGTGAAATACTACTTTGTGCTGGTTCAGCTGCCTTTTCACAAAACGGACAAATTGGGAGGACACTTCGACCCCAAATTCCATTTACGGTTGCGGTGTCCCTTTTGTGGTTGGATTGATTGGATTGATAGACGGAGATGTGCAGTTTTGAATCCTTTCGTCTTTTCTTCGGGGAAAAAACTTGGCACGATGAACACCCATCGGTTGTTTTGCATGAGGGTTTATGACAGATCTCTCTTAAGAGAGCAACGAGCCACGAAATGACTCGAGGGCCTTTTGCATGCGAGGAATCAGTCCACGCTTCGGCGCTGCGATATGCCCGGCCTGGCAGCCACCGTCAATGTCTTGGGCGAGGCTTGGTGCATGGCGCGCGCCAAACCTCCAAGACAGAAGAAGTAGTGGCTTTTTGTTTGGGTTTTCTCCATTTCCCTTTTTAGAACCTAAAGTGGCAGGTTCAGTGGACACAGCCACCAAATTGATCAACCTTGGAAGGGACATCCAGTGATTTCTGTTTTGTTTGGCAGGTTTTTCACCAAAAGATTCGTTGACCTCAGGGGTTCCCATCTTCTGCCAGGGTCACTGAGGAATAGCTCGGTACAAGGAGCTCGCCCAGAAGGTCCTTACTCGGGAGTTCCCTCATTTTCGGGTTGAAAACTAGCAATTGCCAAGATGCATGATGTGTTGCTCGTATCATTCCAAAAGCAGCAAATGTCCACGCTCAGTTTACGCGAATCCACCACGCCTGTTGTTGTGCTTTTGTTGGTGGGTGTGAGCGTCTGCTTATTTCTTGTTGTGTTGCTGCTGATTGTTGTTGTTTTCGATGGCGTACTCCTTGTTCTTGCGTAACGTGGAGACGCAACAATCAAATACGTTTCTGGCGGGCAAAAGGTAGTAGCAAGGAACCACAGCCGATTGCAGAGTGGTTGCTTGACACAAAGGAAGATAGTCATAGTCCTCCAAACGGGCCGTGCGCACCAAACAATGTTCTGTGTTAGGAGGGTGCCAAGAATGAGTTTGGTCATGTACTTTGTGAGCAATTCCGATACGTTCAAACAAATCGATCTAATGACGAGCCTGGAGGCTAGTTCCGAGGTACCCGGTGGAGATTCCCGCAGACCTTTAGTGCCCTTTGAAGGGAGGACCTGCAACCACACAGAACGGCGCTGTTTCCTCCATTTTCCCTTTTGGAACCTCCAAAAGTGGCGATCGTTTCATTATGGAGTTCTTAAGGGAGGGGGGTGTAGGGGGGGGGGGGGGGTAAATTTGAGTAAATGGCGTGGACTAGGGAGCCCTAGGGAGGCCTAGGGTTCAAGTACTGAATCCGGCTCAGCCCTCATCCGGCTTAGCCGCTTGCCCGCCCACTAAGCTCTTCGCAAAACACTCGGTCCTTTGCGTGTTTTCCAGCAACCCAATTGAAGCTGATTAGTTTTTCTTGGCCCGCTTGCTGGGACTAGGGAGCCCTAGTGAGCCCTAGGGAGCCTTAGGGAAGCTTAGGGAAGCTTGGGGAAGCTTAGGGAAGCCTAGGGAAGGGGGAGCCTTAGGGAAGCATAGGGAATAGGGTTTTGAGGGGTTCCGAAAAATCCCGGTAAACCTGTACTTGGGGCTCACTTTGGGGAACTCACTTTGAGGGGTTCCGAAAAGCCCTGGGCCGACGACCTTGAATCTTGGAAGGCTGGGGAGCTTAAGGGAGGCTAAGAATCTTTTAGGGGCCTTTAGGGGTCCTTGGGGAGGGAGCGCTAGGGTTTGCTAAGGAGCTCTAGGAAGTGCTGGGGAGCCTTGGGGCTTTCAAATTACCGCCCCCCCTTACACCCCCCCCTTAAGAACTCCATAATTTCAATGGAAACCACCACTGAAGTGCAACTTTTGAAGGGGAGATTCCTCCATTTCACCTCCAAAAGTGGCTAGTGTTTCAATGGAAACCACCAAGGGGACATCCAGGAGCGCCGTGTTTTTCCCGTTTAGGCACAGGGCGCGGTGCTGATAGGTCCACACCCCTCCGGCTTCAGGTTTGGTGTGCCTGCCCGTCTCCGGTTTCAGCCCTGGACTGGGCCTCTCAGCTGACCACGTCCAGCCGTGAGGTTTCTTGTGGTCGTTACACTGGGGCTGGGGGGCAGGGAGGGGAGGGGGAGGGAGCCCAAATAAGCCCTTATTTAGGCCCTTAATAAAGCCTTATTTAGGCCTTATTTGGAAGAAGGCCTTATTTGGAATAAGGCCTTATTTGGGCTCCCTCCCACTCCCTCCCCCCAGCCCCCATGATTGCTGCTTCCTTTTAGCGGGCGGTTGGATTTGTTTGCCGCATACTTTGAAATTATGAAGGGCCCCTTTGAGATGAAGGACTGTGCCTCTAGAAACGGCAAAGAGGTCCAAAGAGACAACCAATGCTGGAATAACATTATATCACATGGTCCCGCCCACTAACAGGCACGAAGCTTCGCTTCTGAGCCTGGATTGAAGGGCAAAACGTGAGCAGCAAACAAGACATATTATATATATATGGTACAGCGTTGCCAGCCCCCCCCCCCCTCCCCCCCCCAATGGTCATGGGTCAGACAAGTACCCCCCCCTGTGGTTGTGGTCCTGTGGTTGGGTTGTGGTGGTTTAGGGTTGGTTTAGAATTGGTTTAGGGTATATTTAGGGTGTATTTAGGGTTAGTTTAGGGTTGGTTCAGGGTTGATTTAGGTTGATTTATGTTGATTTAGGGTTGGTTTAGGGTTGGTTTAGGTTTAGAGAGGTGTACGGTTTAGGGTTTGGTTTAGGGTTTGGTTTAGGGTGTATTTAGGGTTGGTTTAGGGTTGGTTTAGGTTTAGGGTTTATTGTTTAGGGATTGGTTTAGGGTGTATTTGGGGTTAGTTTAGGGAGGGTTGGTTTAGGGTTAGTTTAGGGTGGTTTATGTTGATTTAGGGTTGGTTTAGGTTTAGAGGTCTACGGGTTAGGGTTTGGTTTAGGGTGTATTTAGGGTTGGTTTAGGGTTAGTTTAGGGTTGGTTTATGGTTGGTTGCGGGTTGGCTTGTCCTGGGGGTGGGGGTGCCGGGGTGTCGGGGTGCGAGTTCAGGGGGTCGGGGTGGGGGTGGGACCGTAGGTGCCAGGATCCGGGGGCTCGGGGTCTCGGGCCGGGGGGGGGGTCCTGGGGGACCATACCATATGTGGGGGGGGGGGGGGTAGCAACACGGAACACGGGACCATATATATATATATATATATTAGACCAAACTGTGGCCTCTTTATGTGTCGGCCACTTTCCACCACCAAGATGATGTAACAACCCATGTTGCAACCCACGTCGCGGCCCATGTCAAAGACCCTGCCTTTTCCACTGAGCTCCAGCTGATAACGCTTCATTGCATACAAAATCAAGCTTGCCCAAGACACTGCTCGTGAGGACAGCTTGCCATCAAAGCAATGGGCTTGGGAATTGCACCACACCCATCCGTGGTCACAACACAGCCCCGCCATTGCTCACTTGGACTTCCTTGCCCTTTTCACAGGGTGTGCATCCTTGTGAGGTTTCTTCTCCTTCTTCTTGTCCTCAGGACGCGAACCCTTCGTAGGGGGGAGGTTGGGAAAACCAAATTCCTTGCTGGGGGTTTGGGGCCAAAATTTCACCTTAGACATTGCTTTTCCGCCAACCCCCTCCAACATTACAGCCCTATTCCCAAAAAACAAAACCAAAACACCCCTCTCCCCCCATCCCCAAATTGCAAAAGCTGCACGGTGGTCTCTCCAGAATGTCAAGCCTAAACGGCCCCTCTCAATGCTTTTCACACCGAACCGCACTACGACAAACTCCGGCAGGAGCAAAAAGCCAAACCTGTCCTGCCCCTGCTTCTCCAAGGCAGAGATCAGCTTGAGCATCTTTGAAGGCAAGGAGTCCTTGCCGATGTCGAAGCTCTCAGTGACAAACTTGAACATGCTGTCAATCTCCTCCTTGCCTGAAGGCGAAAACTTTTCGAAAGTTCTAGCGAAGTGAAGCCGAGGGAAAAAATGTGTTCTGAAAGCCCATGTCTGAATGGAACTCTGTGCTGCCACTCACTCCCGCAACAGCTCCCCACTTCTGCGCCCGCCCCAACACTTGTAGCCCGCCTGCCGTGCCCACCAGCAAGCAATGCGCCACGATCATTGCCAAGGCCAGCTTGCTGACGTGATGGCAAACTTCTTTGATTTTGTCTGATGTCTCCTTGGCCTGGCTTTGCACCACTTGAAGCTGTTCACAGCCCGTCTTGCGCGCGAGGGACAGAAGGGGACCGCGGCTTTCGAGAAGCGAGCGTCTGCAAACGCTGGCTTGCTTCAAGTCAGACCTGATGTTGCGCTCGTTCTCCTGTTTGAACACCCACTCCACCGGCTTCATTTGCCACGACTCTGAACAAGTCAAGACCTCGCCGTACTTGTCAAGGAAAGACGTGGCAGGGGCCAAGTTGCCCTTAGCAAGATCAATGGCCCTACCGAGGTGCTTGATGAAAGTTGCTCGGTATGAGCTGCATGACTTCTGAAGTTCCTGTAGAAATGGGGACTGGTCAGCAGCAAGCTCCGGACTAATCGCAAAGTTGGAAGCTTCGAACACTGCCAGCTTCTCGGCAAAGAAATTCCTTGGCAGCGTCCCGAAAAAAAAACAATGTGCAACTGTAGGGCACTAGTGCCACATGTGAAACACGCAACAGCTGGTTGGGTAACAAGCTTAATTATCTGACTTGCAAAACGCACCGAATGAACACGAAGTTCAGTTCGCCCCCTGACGCGTCCAACTTCTCCAGCTCAGGCCCCCATCTCATCTGCAGCGCGTGCCACTCACGCGGCATCCACGACTTCATCTCAGTGATGCTGCCGCTCACGAGTGACACCACGGCCTTGGCCTTGGAAATCTTCAGCAGCCTAGCCAGCATGTCGCGCACGGACATCCATACAAAGGAGACAAGCTCGAGTTCTGAGCTGGCCTCAACCGGCTTGTCCCCATCCTCTCCAAAAAGGAGCAGCCCTTCCGTGCAGAATGTCACGGCTTTTGCCAGGAGTTCTTCAAGGCTTGCGCTGTCCACCCAGGAGGGTGGCCAGTCGCGAGACAAGGCCAACCACTCCGCGAGGGCCTTGTGTGCATCACTGACATTCGAAAGGATAACGTTGCCGCGGATAAAGCCTCGCATCACGGCACATCACGTCGCACAACGCAACGCTTTTGTAAACTTTCGTCTGCAAGGACAAGTTCACCAAGACCGATGCCATTTTTTGACACATCCGGAGTTCTTAGCAGGGCCAGACAGAAACCAAAAAAGCCAAGGCACACTTGAGGGCAAAGGAATGGTCTGAGGCATGGAGCCCTGCAGTTGCGGCCGCCAACGCTGCAGGATCGAAGTGCTCGGCAAGCGTCTGGAACGTTGCCTCCTCCAAATTGGGGACGACAAGAACGCCGTCTGCCCACGATTTGATCTGGCCGAGTTTCTCCTTGAAGTCTGGGCACAAGATGTCACTTGCCCACTCATTCAACTGGTCCCTAGCAGCAGTGAGCTTGGCGGCCTCCTTCTCCATACCCCTGGTGGAAAGGTGCGCCGCCAATTCTTCCAAGGGCACAAGCTTGCTGGCCTGCGTCTGGAGCGCAAGGAGCTTTTCCTCTGTGGCATCAGCAAGCTCGCTGGCTGAGTAGCGCGCCACGGCCTCTACGAGGGCTGCAAGGCTGTCGACATCTTTCACAGACAACTTCGCCTCAGCAGCAGCCTTTCCAGCAGAAAGCACCTTTTGCCAGAGAGACCTCCAGCAAAGGGGAAGGTAGGCAAAACATTCATCAGAGATCAACGCACAAGCCTTAAAAGGCAGGCCCCCCTGCCTCCACTCAGCCTGGGCTGCCGTCGGGAGCGTCAGCGACTGGCTGAAAGTAGCCTTGGCCACGGTGCACAGGTAGGCGTTGACCTTTGTGTCCAATTTGCCTGCGCCATCTGCCACCAGCAAACAAGCGTGCAACTTCTGCAAGTCCCGAACGACGCTCAAGCAAAAGCCATCCTCCACATGCTTCTTCGAAATGTCCACGGGCTCTTTGCTGGGATCAGGGAGCCTTAGGTAAGCAAGGTTGGAAAGCGGGTTGGAGTTGGCTTTGCTAAAACAATGCGCGATCTGCAAGAAGAACGCTTGAACACCTGCTATGCGCAACTATGTCACCACTTGGCTTCGTCTTCAAAGTCATCCCTGCGCAAACTGTCAGGCAGGACTGCTTTGGCGAAAGCTATTGACTTTGGCAGGCGAAGCTTCTCAAAGACGCATTCCCCGACAGCGGCCACCTGGGTGTGCAGGAGCTGAGTGGCAAACGCAGGCTTGTCCTCTGCAACGGGGTAGCACTCGAGAAGCCAGGCCAGGCTCACGGAGCACCGCCCCGAGTCTTTCAAATTCAGGAAGTCAAAAAGCAGCGAGGGTGTTTCGACCTGGGCTTATCCCTGCTTGGACAACTGCCAAACATGCTATCTTCCTGCCACGGCTTGCTGTAGATGCGTTCGCTCACATGCGTGGTACCACACCCCCACGCTGATTGGGTTTGGCTAGCAAGCTGGCTGATCTACTGACTGACAGACTGACTGGACTGACTGATTGACAAGTGGGGAGATGCGAGAAACAGGAAGCATGCAGCAGAACCAAAAACAATTTGGTTGTTTGATCTACGTGCGCTTTCCTGGCCAAAAGCTTGCCGTTCCTTCCTGGCTGAGTTTCACCACATCACTACATCTGAAAGGCGCTCGTCCTGGCCAACCTCCGGGTTTGTACTAAACTCAAAAGCCTCGAAATGCAAACAAGGGGCCTCCTCATCGACAAGCTTCCTTGCGATCTGTTGCGCAAGGTCACGGGTCACATTGCGGTCCGCCAAGAGCATGGCGCTAGATGTCTTGATGGCCTCCTTAAGCTCCTTGCCGGAGCAGACCTGCTCGGCCAGCTCCTTGGGAGAGCTCTGGCGGGCCAACCTTGCGACCTCCTTCGTGGCAGCAATCTCGTCAGTCGCAGTCTGAATTCGTAGGGTCAAGGACTCTGCTTCCTGCACAAGGTCAGCGCGATCCTCTGGGATTTTGCTGCCCAAGTCCCG